GCCTATTCTGAGGCAATATGAGAAAATCAGACAGAACATCTGAAAAAGCCTTCAACCGTCATTAACTAAGCACGTGCCAGTGTTGGGATTAGCAACACCAAAATATTTGCATTAAAACATTTATCCGTAAGATAGACGTGACTTCTATAGTAAGTGACTACTTGCGTTTAAGCTGACGCAACTGTAGCTCTTTTCTTCCAAATTTCTGGACTAGCCTTTGGTCCTGCCCGAATTATCCCTTAACCAAGCTACTTACACTTATAATCGATCACAATATGGTCATCGACGCACATGAATAACTCGAAGATAAAATTTTTCCGGAAGACTTCGCGATAATAATTCTGTTGCTAAAAGAAGCGTGTATCAGGAAAGAAACCTGCTCGGAATAAATACAAGACAATGTGTCAAAAAATAACACCTCGGTGGCTGCAATTGATGCAAGCTGCCAAAACAGAATGATTGCACAAATGAAGACCGCATAACCCTGCTAATCAGCACTTTCGCATCACCCTCTACTGCCACAATAACACGTTGTTCATCAACATTTAGAATGCGTCAAATACGCGTCACGAAACAAAAATTGAACAGCCCAAAATGCAGGCGATATTTCAACTACCGTTGCTATAAATCTATGCCAAGTAAAAGATATGCCACCAATACTAGTTTAGGAGCAGTAGACAGCCTAACTATACCTGACGCAACACCTGCGAAAGTAGCGGTACAAACACTGATAGTACACTATACGCTCGATGATACAGTGGTTTCTGGTACTTGACCTTAAATATGGTGACCCAAATTCCCCCGCCTGTCCGACCCAAGCTAACAAGAATTACTAGACCAACAGTGGAGCAAGATTTGGAATGTGACTTCATTTGTAAACACGGGATCACTTAAGATATAAGCAGGAGCTGACTATCCAAATTTGCCTAGGTGTCACATTAGCGATCCAACTTGTTGGTCAATTTTCTACTCTTCTCATGCATCTAGTCACTGGTCTTTTCGTCCGTATTCACCAATTTTCTGGCAACCGGCGATCAAACAGCTGTCATCACCATTGTTCACAGGAAAAAACTGGATGTAACGTAATCCTTTTACAAATAAATAATGTAGGTGCAGTGGCTGTTTCGGTGTATGTGTCTGATGCATTAAGAGAAATAATAGAGTCAACTATCTAACAACTGATTTGTAAGGTAGTTGCAAGGCTGCAATCAAACAGCGATCAAATGCTTTGTCAAAGCTTAAGTTGCTTAACATTAATCTAATAGGTAGTTTAGCTTTGATACGGTTAGAGATATTTCATCACAGTGCACTCCCAGTCCACAAGATTTTCTAGTCTTGAATAGCGCCAGACAGTGGTGTTTCGACTTTATGTGTCTCGGTAGTGTGCGCATTTCTGCGGAAGCTTGACAGGTTCGCCCCCATGACTGGCATTTTCCAGCAGCTGGTGCCAATTCGCCATGGGTGACAGCCGCGAACCTGTATGATTGACAGTTGACTGTGACACAACACAGCTCAGGTACTGTTCTGTATATCTGGATCAGACACGATCTGTGTGATTCGTATGATTCCAAATGAGTAACCTCAAAGAATTAAATAATGTGTCTACATGAGCACAGCTTTGTTTGAGCACGTTGTATATATTCCATTGTGCAGGATATCATTCCCTTCCTTAACAGCTGGACTTATATATTATGACTGTAGAGGACAAGTAAAAGTACCTCTGTAACTAGGAGGGAAAGTTTGGTCTAAATAGGATGAGGTGACATTAACATGGATTAAGCAATCGGTCTCTTTCATATGGTAGTTTTGCTTACTTAATCAACACGCTTATCTATAGTTTTCCACGCATCACCCGTTCCTTCACCTCTAACGGACATCTGTTTTGCTTTCGGAAACCTTACTTTGAGACTGTTGTGACTTCATCCACAACTGACTAGACCTCGCCGCCTAAACATTTACATGCACGCTCAGCGTTCATGACATGTTCACTACCGTTTGTGCGTTCGTATCAATACCGGAAATTTGGGGCCACATTGCCTCTATGTTCCCTTCTTAAGATTCGAACCAATGCACTTCGTTACGCCCAATTCTAGCGCGCGCGTCACATTATGCAATGGACAAGCGAAAAAATTGGAACAATATATCGACGTAGCAATTACATCACATTTGTTTTTGTCTGTTGTCTCTTAACATGTATTTGCCTAGCTTCCAGGTAACATAACGAAATGAACCGGACACAGCGGACTTACCGAACGCAGTGCTGATGATTATCTATGCATTGTAATCCTCGCCTTGTTGGTGTTGCTCCCTGGTAGCAAACCTGGTGGCTAAACACTCTGGCTGGGTTGAGGCAATCAAGACTGCATGCGATACGGGATAATATCCTTGATGTCAATGGGCCTGACTGCAACGGCGCCTGTAACATATTCAATTTGCTTTTATTTTCATGATATACCACGTTTCTCTGGTGCACCTAGGTAAATGCATTCTATTAGCGGGTATCCCACTGGCGCTGATTCCTTGTCTTTGATTTCACAAATAAAATCAAAAGTTGGTTGTGATAAACTCGCACATACCACGCGGTTAAAGGTACTTCTGGTTTCTAACATCTCATCTCTGCATTATTTTCTTGATATAGAAGATACTGGGGTATGTGTATTGACCTTATTGGCAGGATATACACAACTCACCTCAAGCGCTACAGCTGAACTGTACAGTCGAATACATGCATAATACTTCGGGACAGCGCTTTCGTACATGGAACTCGGTAATCACATAAGATGCGTAGGATCCAACACAGACGTTGCTGATGAAACCGTTCTAAACCTCAGAATTATTTATGGTACTAAGTCTAGGTTTCCCTGCGCACATTGTAAATTACATCAGTACCGGCCGATACAACCTCCAGCTTCCTCCCATCAGTTATCTGATGATTCTCTAGCACTTAAATATCCAGCTTTCTAAATGAACGCGTCGGCTTTTTAAAAGCAGAAGCGCAGTTCGCTTGTTTTCTTGGGGTTGAAAGGATTACACTGTCCAGGTAAATACCAAAGAGATGGTTTCAGAACATATTTACCATAGTTTAGTGTAATACCTACTTGTGCGTATTGCATCGGAATATTTGGGATTGTTTACGACGAGCATGCCCATCTATGTGCATGTGTTATAAATGGGATGCATCTTGATATACCATCCCGCTCATAACGCAATAGCTTATCCGGCGACTACAGTGAAAATTACCCAATTCAAAAGCCGATTGTATTCAACAGCTCTTGTAACCAAGCCGCTATTCTGAATTTCATAGAAGCTGAGATAAGTACACTTACAGTGGAACATAAATAATCTAAAGAGCCTTTCAACAGTAATATGGATGCAATCCGCTACGAAAATATTTGGCATTTGAGGTGCGGTTCTCTTCCTGGTGGATTCAGCTTCACCAATTATGCCTGAACACCACAGATATCCACCACTGCGCTGCAGCCTTGTCATGGTTCAAATGCATAGCAGCATTTTATAATGTTTACTTGTGTGGTATACTAAGGCTGGTTTGGGATTGTGCATAACGATCAGAACGATTCCATATGCATGAGCTGAATGCCGGATGCAGTGAAAATGCCTTGTGAACAAAGTTGCATACAGTTACAAGGAACACGATTTCTGTTATCTGGATTAATTGCATTTGCTGTTGCAATTGCATGGCTAGATGATTAGCTAGGTACCTACCGGGTATCTTATTTCACTGCGTGTTCGATAAAAGATGCCGCTGGGCTCTGCGAAGAATCAAGATGTTACTAATTGCTTTGGTTACAAATATTTGTGTTTCACTTGTATCATAATGACTGCCCTCCAAAAACATTTTCTTGCAACTAAGAGAGTATGAGGCATTTAGCTTCAAAACATGCTGGTAAAAATAACCAGCTGACTGAAAGCTTTAAAAACCCACAGATCAATGCCGCTTGGTAATTAATAGGCGAATTCTGCATATAAAATTCGGTTATATGTTCATTGGCAAATGAAACAAAGTATCTGAGTTTGACGACGCTGAGTTCAAAATAAGTTTATTTATTTGAAAGTATAATTATGTATTTACTCCTATTTAACGTTTCAACAATGTTGTAGTCAATTAGTTCGGCTAATTTTCATTCGGTTCACAGCGCAACTAGCAGTATAACACATTACTATTTTATTTGATATAACGTATCCATATATGGATGAGGATGTTATTGAGCTTGTGAGTTGGATAGACGTTGTTGGATTAACGGATGAGATATATTTGCACATCTCGGAAGCCATATTATACATTTTTGTCCACCGTTCTCCCTGGCCTCAGCATGATCTCAACCTTACGCTAAAATTTATTTTCACCACGCGCTCTTTTGTCTCCGAGGCGTAGCCCGTCAACGCAGGCGATGACGATGGCTGTCTATTTACGACCACAGCCTTTTCCGTGCCATCGCCGATTTCCATTGGCAGAGCAGCATTAGCAATGACGGCGCTCAACGTTTCATAATTAATCCAGACAGTGCAAGCCTAGCACTGATTAGCGTAAGTTACTTGTGTGAAATCAGAAGTCTCGGAGACGTTCTTTGTAGTGTTTTCCGCCGCGCCACGTTTGCACTCGTCGCCGTTGACTGGAAGCGATGGGGATTTATCAAACACGCAACATAGGATCGGGGTGTAACGTGCTGACTTACAGTTCGTGACATTAGCGCGTTTTAGAATTCCGTTTAAAGGCCCAAGCTTAATAAGCACCTGATGGAAAATTTACCTATTGCGGCTCGTAATCGGTTCCAGTGAAGAAAATTATGTGATACAGTCCAATCCTGATTGCATTTTCTATCCAATTTTCGTGATTCCCATGGATTGCGGCACTCTGCTGATTGGATATTTTTTACATCTTACATATTTGTATATCAAAGAAGATTTCTGTGTGATTTAATTTGCACTTGGCTCAAATGACTTGAAGTTGTTAATTACTAATGGATTGTCTTTCCTGCAAGGTCGATGCGAGCCAAATTAGAGTGCCTCTACACGGTGCTGCAGCACAAGTGCCCAACAGATGCAGTTCGTCTGATTATGAACTATTTCATGGAGACACTTCCGGATGGCTGTCCATACAGTTATGATGATCGTCTGCTCCGAAATTCACAAAGCACTTCTCCGATTACCGGTTATATGCAAAATGCCTACGAGCCTGACGTTTTCGTGAAGGAGCGAAACAGTAGAGCAGAAAAGTCGTTACCATTTGGAGCACTACAGGAAAGAAATCAAGGAAACCCGCAAGGCATTCAACAATGGTGCTTTTTAGCTACTATCATGAATTTGTTAACGATTATATTTTGGAAAAGGTATTCTGTCTGAACAACTCATTCTATCTATATTGCCGTCAACTAGTTCTTACATGAATACAACAACAAATATTTCATTGGTGGATGAGGGCTTCAAAAATGTGTTCAGCTTATCAAAGAGTTAGTTTTCTTTCAAAATGATCAATGGTCTCTCACGATGTTGTATTATAACAATGAGTGGCAGAAATTCGTAATTATACTACTTTTTAGAGAAGGTCCGTGGCAGTTGAACACAAACGCGCAGATAGCACACTTCCACTGAATCCCTGGACCGCCGTTACGTCTTAATGGTACTACTCATAACACGTATACGCTGGATCGTATGGGATCAGAACCCATTGCCTACCTTTTCTAGTCAGCTACACGTGTTCCTTTGCAATAGGTGACGGTGGCAGGCAAATATGTCTGCTTTCTAGGGGTGATATTACGCACGGCCAAAGTTCATGCTGATACTCCAAGTGGAGCCAAGGTTTTGGACACAGTTTATGCAGCAGCAAGTGAACCCGATGTAGTCGGTTGGCTTCCATGAATGGTCCGACAATGGTGGGAAATATTTCACCACTAGAGCAGTTGCTATGCAAGTACTTCTTGCTCACGATTTTCATTACGGGAACAAATGTCATCAACAGTTCTCTAACCTGTGCATATAGCTCATTTGCACTCGCTAGCATATCTGCTTTTTGTCTACAACATGGAAACGCGCGCACTTTATTATACAAGTCATCTTATACCGGGTCAATATTACTGTCTGTGAGGGCGTAGGCAATAATGGCAAACTGGCACCGTGCAATAACAACACTTGTATGAGCCAGCCAAATTGACGGCGCACGTCCAGATGTTGAATGGGATGCACTATCAGGGCATCTTCAACCCCGGTGACTCAGACTTGTGCCCACCCCTCACTGGCCAGCAGTTGAAGCCGCGTCATGTCCGGGCACATCCAATTGGAAATTGCGTACTGTAGTAATTACGGGTCATCGTGTAGCATACTTGCGGTCAGCGAATCAGCAAATAACGGCAGATCTCAAAGTGAAGAAGCTCCAGTATGCAAAAAAGCGCTGCTTGTTGACCAATCTAAAAATATGTGCGCGAAAAGCGTCATTCGGCGCGGTGTTTGATGGTTAAAATACGGTCAGATAAAATGACGCCGTCAGCTCCAGTGAACCTACACTTATCGAGAGGGCGATAGTGAAATCCTGCAATTGTTTTGAGTAAAAATGGAACCAGATCGACTGACTTAAATAGATGGAAGGGGGCCAAATGTTTGGGTATTGAAGAATGGGGATAGCAATGAATTATGAACCTTAAGTTAAGGCTTCACATTGGGAAATAGGAAAAACAAGACTAGAATTTTTGCGCAGCTGTATCATCACCCTACCCAGCTTGCTCGATGCAGCATATAATGCGCCATTGTTCTGCAACGGCTGGTGCACCACGAAACGTTTGTTGGTCCGATCATTGTTTATCGTGGGTAGGACACGATCAGGTTGCCCGGGCGTAGACAGTAGTAGTATTAAGGTTTCAAACAAATCCTTTGGATCACAAACCTGACCGCGGGGCATCCAGATTTCTACCGTTACTCCAAACCCTTACTCGGAGTTCCAGGCATGAGTGAATGTGGAGGTGAAATTTGCAACAAAGAGCTAAGTTAATTGTATTGTGGAGGTACACAAACAACCTACGCTAAGCCCCAGTCCATCCGCTTTGGAGATAAAGCGTCCAGTGAACGAAGTTAAAAACCTACCGTCTTCAGTCGTAGTTCTGACGGAGCACCATCCACAACTCAGCCCAAACGCAATAGGTTGAAAATCATTTTCATGATTGAATGTCTAATCTTACTATCTTACGATCACTACCTTTAAACGAGAAGATATATAATTATGTATAATTAACTATAAACTTCTAGACATAAAGTATTTCGTATTATTTCAAATCATGGGATCCAGATTCACTATCCATTTGTTAATAGCTTGGGTACCACACGTATCAGAGCGAATTTTCCAATTAAAAGCAGGCCAAACTAAGCTTTATTCAGTCATATGGGCACATTTTTAGCATCTTTTCAGTAAGATGGTAAAGTATAATACAACAAGAGTTCAGTGAGCAATAAAAATAGAACGCAGTAAAATTAGTCTAATCCTAAATCAAGCATACGTTTACGCAATTGGCGCTTCAACTCCGTTTGCTTCTAGTAATAAGCTTGATTAATAAGTCTGTATGGAGTTTGGATACGATGGCGTAATAGTATATATAGGTTAGATTAAAAAAATATAAGCTCTTTCAAAGGATAGGCTTAGCGTAGGACGTTGCAGAATCAATATTTTTCTCTGCATTTGCCAAACCTGGAAAATCCAACGGTAAGTGCATTGTCATTATTTTCTCCATGTAACGTAACACTGAATATGGAGATTAGAGCGAGAACAAAAAATGCTGCGTTCCTCCGCAGTAGATGGACCAGGCACCTTGGCGGAATCCGTTATACTTGAGACAACTCCTCTTTTTTGATTGCGTAGATGCCTGATAAAATTATTACTGGCACGGTTGGAGCACGCCTACGGTAACGGTCTGGAACGCTGACCAATCGAACGGATTTGCGCTGACATGATGGCGTTAGCTTAGCCCGGGGTAGGCGCTGGTGAGACTGAAATTGAGCGAGCGTGAGAACAATCCCAGCCGCACGTAATCGGGTAGACGCTGAGCCCTCGGAACGGACGCACACAAGAGGGGTTTACGGTGGACGCGCACTAGTGGCTTAGGCGCGAACGCTGCCTCGCTAACGACGTGCAAAAATTACGTGACCGACCGACTCCCAACTAAGGCGTAGAGGAAACAAGTCAGGTGGTCCTCTTAAGGCTCTTTTACGACCAACAATGGGCGAAGCACAGCCAATGCTATGGGTCATTATGTTGGGGAGAACAGCCACCAAGACGGGCTGGTAGTTCGTAAAGGAATATTGTCAATAGGTGCGCAGTTGGGCCGCGTCTCGGAGTGGCTGAACACTGCTACTTTGTGGGGAGGCATTGGACCTCGCTTTCCACAACCATTATGCCGTAGTTTCTGGCACGTTTTGCGGTGATGTTTGACGGCCCTTACACCTCTGTTTGAAAAGAATGCGTACCGCTCCTGACGAGGCTTTACCTGGAGAGATTTCGTCGACCTCCCGATTCTTCCCGTTCGTCGGCATGGAGGGTTCTCCAGACGCGCGGCGATTGAGCGGCTTGAACCGTGCTCTCTGGATATTTAGTCTGTCCAAACGTATTCGACAGGATGTGCAGCGGCAGACGCACAGGAAGGCTGGGTGGCGTGGAAGTTTCTCCGTGGCGCAGTCGAACTTGGTTGCGACGGCGAACCCAGGTGTCTTCACCCACGGAGACATGATGCAGCATGTCACCTCGCCTGGCTGTCACTGGTGCTTTGATCCAGCGGGGATGGCATGCTCGGTAATCGCGAGCGTAAACCAGGGCCCAACGACGAACTCGTTGTGATTGGTGCAGGCACCAGAGGGACTAGGTGGCTACTCAGTCGGAATGAGCGCTGCGTTGGTGGTGCGTAGCCTGCGTCCCATCAATGCTTCAGCTGGTGACTGGCACCCTGGAGTACCTGCATTCAGAGTGGACCGGTACGAGAGCAGGAAGGCTTGAAGACACACAGCCACGGTCTCCTCCAGGCGCGATTTCAAAAGCGCTTTCTTAAAGTGTCGACAAATCGCTCTGCTTGAAAGTTGGACTGAGGATGGTAAGGCGCTGAACGGAGGAGTTCGATGCAGTGGCAGCGACAAAAGCCTTTGAAGATGGAATAGGTAAACTGGGTAACATTGTTGGACACCAAAACCTCGGGAAGGCGATGTTGACTGAAGATTTGTTGGGGACTACCCAGGGTAGCAGATGCGGTATGAGGGTTGATGGCGGCCACCTCTGGTCATTTGGAATAGGCGTCAACCAGGACCAGATACTAAATGCCATCGATGGGACCAGCGTTGTCAATGTACTCTCGAGACCATGATTTGCTGGCGGATGCCAAGGAACCGGTGATTTGTGTGGTGGCATCTTGGTTGCTTGTTGATACCATGAGCAACTTCGGACCAAATCTTGAATGTGGTTGTAAATGCCAGGCCAAACACATAACTGCGGGCAACTGCCTTCATTCTGTTCATACCGGGGTGAGCAGAAGGAAACTGGCGGAGTACAGCTAGCCGGAGGCATGAAAGAAATACAACTCCATCTGCAGTCATGTGGCAGGAGTCGACCACGGAAAGGGAATCGCGGCGTTGATGTATTTGTTTGATTTCACCAGACAAGGTAGAGTTTGGCCAGCCCGTCTGAACGTAATTGACGGCTTTCTGCAAAACAAGATCTTTAGCGGTTACACAACGTATGTCAGCGGCATTGATAGGGAGACTTCGGATAGCGTTAGAAAGTTGATAACGAACGTCTTTCTCGAAGTAACAGCGACCATAACTGTGTCTTCTACTGCGTCATGTTTTGAAATCAGGCGTGCGAGACCGTCGGCTTGACCAAAATCCTGAGTACGGCAGTATTGGATTTCGAAGTCGTAATCAAGAAGGATGACCGCCAAACGCTGAGTTCGGTTAGCCGAGTATACGGGAACGCCCTTCTTTAGACCGAAGATTGAAAGCAGGGGCTTGAGATCAGTCAATAGCGTGAACCACCGGCCATACAGCATATTGTGGAACTTGGTGACAGAAAAGACGATGCCAAGGTCTTCCTTCTCGATCCGACCATGGTTCTTCTTCGCAGGCGCCAGGGTGCGAGAGACGTGTTAATAGATTTCTCGGAAGCATCTGAGAATCGATGGGAGAGAACTGCTCCGATCCCGTGGGCAGAAGCATCAACTGCGACCAAAATCGGCTAGGTTGTGTCGTAGAGGGTCAACAGTAGATCAGAAATCATCATGGTTTTCATTTGAATGAAATCTTTCTCGCGTGGGGGACCAGTGCCAAAACACGTCCTTCTGCAACAACCGATTAAGCGGGGCTCAAACATTGTGTACCGATGTCAGGAAGGCCCTGTAATAGCTGATGTAGCCCAGGACAAACCGC